CTATTCAACCGACAGCTGTATAGCCACTGCGTATATTTAAATAATGATGAACGGAATCTTTTTACAAATACAGAAGTGTTTCCGTTTCTGAAAGCAATACTGTACATTCCTTAAAAACCTTTTGTAAATCGAAGCCATTTTCCCATTAATTACCATCATATAAAGGGAGGTACGTTCTTGTTAGTGTGTGTGATAGAGGCATGATTCATCAATTTCTTCCTCCATAACAACACGTTGCCACACACTAGCCTGCACTACAACACACTGCTTACAAAAAAATATTGTAATTTTTTTTCGTAAAAGCGGGGTTTTCGTTTGTATACTGAAGCACGGACTTGAGGGTAGACTGTCACATTTTCAATAAATTTGTTTCTGATTATTTGTGAGAGGATTTCCAATTTTTATTTATTTGTATGTGTGTGTGTGTGTGTGTGTGTGTGTATGTGTAGACACATATTTACAAAACCGGTAAAGGCAATTACTATCTCCAGAACGAATGGCTCCCTGTCCCAGTCGTTAAAATGGCAGCAGCTTTAAAACTACCCACAGACATTCTTGGGTGCATCCAGGGTGTCATCCGTGAATAATAGAGGATCGCAAAATAAAAATCCATGAACTTGGGGGGCCCCTTGCATTATGCTTAAAGATCACAACTGCCATAACTATAATCTAGTGCAATAAAACCTATTTAATATACTGATTTATAATTAAAATTAGACATTTATAAAAACATTAGCTACACATTGTTTTCTTAAAAATTGGCTGTGTATAAATAATTTACTATTTGAACAGCTTAGATTATGATGCACTAATAAAGTGCTTTGTATTGAAACAATTGGTGATTTTTAATTTGTACTAATATGTACTGTTAGTGATTGAAGTGTAAAATGCTCTTATAAATAATTATATTAAAAATCCCAATCTTGTTCTGTCTTTTTGAAAAAGAGAAGTACTGGACCATCAAGTTCTGGATGAACTCAAGTTATTTTTATATAGAGTTTAAGGATATTTAGAGGGGAGGCAATTGGGGACAATGAATTACTTTATGGCCAGACCAGACGTGTAACATTAACACTCAAACACATGGTCTCTGGATATCATAAGAGCCTGGGTGGTAGGTGTAGTGTAGGCATCGGCAAGCCTGTTGTTACCAAAGTTTGTCTTATTTCTTATAGAATAATTAACTATCCCTTTTAAATTACCTTAAACTTTATATTAAATACTGCACTTAACTTGAGTTCACCCAGAACATGATGGGTAAACACTTCCCCTTTTCAAGAAAACAGAAGTGATAGTTTTATTATCATATCATCTATAATAGTATTTTAATCTTCAATCACCCATAATAATTAATAGAACATGAAATAAAAATCACCCATTGTTACAGTATGACCAAGTTCTACACAGCAACTACTACTGTACTTTATAACTAACTCACACTCTTCATTATACAGATCTCTGTATTTAATTAAATTTTGGACATGATGTCTATCATTACTAGCTACGGGTAAGTGAAGAATACTATTTTCTGGTGATATTCACTCATACAAGACACCAAATGGCAAGGCAAGAGTAAGGTGAATCAGTGTGTGGATGAGGGTCGGTCAGCCAGTCATCTAAGGTACTCCATCCACCCCTGGAACCCTGCCAGTCAGAATTACCAAATCATAATTGAATGTTTGAGTACATATTATTTGTGAACCAAGAATGGGATCTATTTATGTGATTAAAAATTTAGAGAACAATGGTCAATGATTCATGCTAAATACATGACTCCCACACTTTTTGTGATGGTTATGTCAGCTACTGGATGTTTTGTTTATGTTTTTTACATGAAAGACCCTGTTTTACTAATGTCAAAGGGTGAAGATGTATGTCTGACCATACCACCTTGTCCAAATGATGCCAATTACTCCTTGTCCACAAAGTGATTGATACCTGTAACAGCTCGGTATAAAGTCTTACATAGCTTCAATGTTTTCCTTTGTATTGCATAATCATCACTGAGAAATTAATGGAAAAGGTACATTAACAAATCAAAAAATATATATTAAAAATAAAAAACATTGCTCCTTTAACCCTTAGATTGTGGCTATTGAAATAAAAAAAATCTTTAAAAAATTATATTAAAAATAAATAAAAAATATGCATGTAGAAGCATAAAAAAATTAATCATATACTTGCATCTGTTCAGCTGTGGTGAAGTGTTGGGGCTGAGCTACTTGAGGGGGGAGCTGAGAGGTGGTAGAGGGCAGTTTCCCACTAACTGTTACTAATGGCAAAGAATGTGTATTTTCCATTATGACAGAGGCAACTGAGAGTCATATTAAGGTGTGGGTTGCATGAGGAATATTACTGGGATATGTGATGTGATGAATGCTAAAATTGGCCCAGTTTAAAAAAGTGGTTGTTCTCATATGTTGGATGTCACAGTTGAATAAGTGGCCTCATATGAGAGATGCCACAGTTTAAGGGTTAATCTCACAAATTTTATTACATGCCTTATACTCTACAATACAAGAGTGTATGAGTGGTATCTCTATCTGATAGGAAAAGCGATAGTAAATAATATCTGTTGGTTTAAAATGCTTGTACATACAGTATGCAATACTGTATTGAGGAAATATTAAACTTGTACATAGTAATACAGTATATTACATAAATGTGAGCTTAAATATTTTTGTTTTACATTTGTTCTTACAAGTTTAATCAGTCTTACTAATATAATTAGTTATAGCTTCACACTATTCCAGCTACAATATGTGTTGAACAATACATTATTAAGGATTCCTCTTAGGAAAGTTTATGGCAGTTGACTGAATAATATATGACTATAATAAAGTTAAACAAACATTAAAGGATATAAAATAAAGAACAAGTACAGGTTGTACCTCTCTAGTCCGGCACCCTCGGGACCTGACCGGTGCCGGACCATGGAAATTCACCCTTTTCCTGGATAGATAGTGACTTGTGCATACACTTGGAAGCACTAGCACCACTTACACTGCTTCGTGGTCTCTTTGAAGACATATTGAAGGGTTCAATGTTGTACAGTAGGTTCTCAAATTTAGCGAGTTTTTAATTCAACGTTTTTTATTTGGACACACAAAAAAAACACTGCACAATTTAAAATTTCGACGGCGAAAACTCGAATTTCGACGGGTTTGAGCGGCCCGCCAACGTTCAGACATGCACAATTGTGTAAACAGTGTCATTTCTCGGTGTACAAACCATTCATTATTGTTTATTACTGAATGTCTTTTTGATTGAATTAATGTTTATGTGTGCAATATGAACAACACAATTCATTAATAATACGTGGAATATTAAAGCACACGATGAGACGAGACGGTATTGTTTTCGTTAATGTTTACAAAACCAGTGACTGATTGCTTCTACATATAAAACTGAAAAAAATAAGACCCTGGTTGTAGCTGTAGTAAACTAAATATGGTTGTTTTAAGTAATGTTATTTAATGTTAATAAATGGAACAATGGCAGAAGCTAACCATTAATGGTAAAAAAAGGTGAGATCACGTATGTAAGTAAGCACATGTGTAAACATATCGTCATTACTCTACATAAGAATATGAAAGCAACACTTATTTACTGTTCATATATATTTTAATTAATGTTTCTGAATTTAAAACAAAAATTCTACCCACCAGTGGTGGTAAAGTTGAAAACATAAAGACAGCCAATATTGTTGTGTGCATTTTTACTCGGATGACGAAGTTGCCAAGCCATCAGGTTCAACTCTAGCTAAAGCTGTAGAACATAAGAACTTTTCTGTGTTGTTTTTAGTTTTTATTTAACTTTATCTGAGTTATTTTCGTTGGTGTATTAGGATGTTGCTTTATTACAGGTAGTAATTTGCCCCAAAAAGTAGGGTAAATAAGGCCAAATTTAGCCAAACATCGAAAGTACAGTACCAGACTCAAATTAATTTTCTCCATGGGCAAACTAAAATCGTTCCGGACCACAGAATGCCGGACTAGAGGGGTACAACCTGTAAATGAATATGTGAATATTATCTTCCTACATAATCTATGTAATCAATACAATAAGTTTATAAAAGTGGAACATGATGTCTGTTCTACAGGTGGAGGTAATGACATCAGCAGTTTAATCTTGAGGTACAATTTTCACTGTTTATCAAAATGAATTTATAATACAGTACTTTATGTCAGTATCTCCAGTATGTAATTCTTTCATGTTTACACTGTTCAAATTGAAGGCAAACATTGCTCTGCCACTTCAACCTTTAGTGTGTTATCACAGTCACCATTGGTTACAGCTTTACTTAACCAAATATATAATAAAGAAATCACTACATCAAAATCAAGTACAGTAAGTCAAGATAAATAAATGGATAGCAGTTTACATAGTATATAAGCCAAGAGAAAAATTGTTATCAGTCTATTTGTTTCTTCAGCATCAACATCCTACCTAAGCATGCATTTTATCATTGCCCAAAAAAATTTGTTTGAAAAAAAATGCATTCACAAATACTTTGCATATTTCAGAACATGCAATAAAGTTTCTAAAACATTAATTTAACTTTCTGAAAGATTAACCGAAGATTGTACTACAACTGTTTTCCTGATCTATATTAACAAAATCTTCACTTGAAATTGAGAGCCCAGGTTCAGTTCCCTACTGGAGTGGAGGACTAGGTTCCCTCCCTGTACACTAGCCCTTGCACACTTAGCAATGACAGGACATATTATTGGATGCACTTGTCAAAGGTGAAACAACCCTCTGGTGGGTTAGTATCCTGCTAAGGGATTAGGGTTATGCATTAGCTGTTAATACCATGGATGGTGGGGTCAGTAACAGTCACCTAACATCAAAGCAGGATAAAGACATGAATGAATGAATGAAAAACTGCTTTTGGGAAATAATTTTTACATGCCTATGTAATGAAAATTCGTAAGCAATGAAATTATGACTCTTTTAAGAGTCATTTTCACTAATTTCTCCAGCATTTTTCAGTCAACTTTTTAGTTTTTTTTTTGTACATTCACATGCTTCTCCATGTCAAGATTTACAAACATAAATCATCTAAGTATTTATGTTTCTGTTCTCTACTGATTGTCCTGAATCAAAGCATGAAGTGCCCAACATGGGAAAAATTAAAATGCTTGCTTTGAAGACTCAAGAATTCTTTCAGTAACATAAACATCAACTCACCATCCTTCTTTGCTCCCATTTACCTGAAATCTGAAAGAAGTGAGAAACACAAGTTAAAGATAAAGAATAGTAGCAACTAATAAAAAAATCATAAAATTTTTATCCTTTTTCCAACCTTTAATTCAAAGTACAGTAGTATGGCCTAGGCACACCTCTGTAAATCTATTAATGCCTGTTCTGTTCACTGTCAACATCATAATTTAGAATGTTGTCATATGTGTCATGCAAGAACTGTTATCACAACAAAATAACTACATTTCCATATGGTACAGTAAATTATTCCTTTACCATGCAAGCCTTTTCCACTATGCTGTTGCCTTCTAATCCCTCTAAATCTATGCTTTCCTATTCAGATGATTTTCACCTTTTCAGATGTTCATTCCTCTCACTTACAGCACATCCTTCATTATCTTGGTCTTATCCTCTCCCTCTTATCATTGACCTCTTAATTTTATGTTCTTTTTGCCATTCTTTTATTTTACATTCTCTCAACTAGTCTGGACCAACTTAAAGACACATGATAAATTTTTGGACACATATCCTTATTTCTATAATGTAAGTCTTATTCTTTGCATCCTATTAACCCCACATACTGCTCTCAAACATATAATTTCTGTCACATCTAATTCGCTGCTTCCTCTTACAACCATACAGTACAGTATATTCACATCTTTGCCTCCTTTGATATACAGGAACTGTAGTTTTTCTCTTCAATTGTTTCTCAATGCATCCATTTACTTCTGTCCATCCACTACTCTGCTTTAATTTGTCACTTATTGTTCTATTTGCAAGTAAATCTAATCCCAGATATCTGAAACACTTCACTTTCTTCTATCTCTATTTATGTTAACATTAATTTCTGGGTTTTTCTCTACCTACAGTATTTCCATTACATCAAATTTATTCTTATTTCCTGTACTACTAACTTTCTCTAATGCTTACTTTTCTAAACTCATTCACTAACATTTGTAGCTTTTGTTGAAAATCACCAGCAATGTTATCTGTAAACAGCAGCTGACTTGACTCCCACTTGTAGCTCGAATAATTGCTTACCGAAGTTACACCTCTCTCCACTACTCTTCCTTTTTCACATTACCTGTATTTCAAAGGTCTTTATATCCTTTAAATATATAACTACATCCTCATATAATACTCTTATCTTTTTCCTGATAATTTTTTCTACAGTGTATATATTGCCTCTATTCACATGCCTGTATTTATGAATCACCATCCATCCATCCATCCATCCATCCATTCACTTCTCATAACCCACCTATAAACTTGCTGGATGATGTTACCAGGTTACATGACAGAGCATCCACTGTTGTTCTTGTGATCCTTTGATTTTTGGTGTATGTTGGCTTCCTTCACTGGTGGCAAGTCACCCTCAACTTTTTCAGCTGCTTTCTGTTATCAATTAAATATGGTACAGTACCTCATTATTACAACATGCTGCTAATATCTTATCTACTCCAAGTCACTAATTCAAGCTAAACATGAACCTCAATAATATTTGTTTTCTCTGATAATGCAATGATCTCGGCTCCAATTGAACGCCAAGGTTGGATACCAAATATTAGTTGCGATAGTTTGATTTGCAATAGATCAACATTAATTTTCTGGTAAACTGGGCCTTAAAGGAGGTGGGTGAGGATAATATGTTTTGTCAAACCCCAAAATTATATTTCTAAGCAAAATTGTTGTTTTAGTTACACAATACAGGTGCTCCTCTACTTACGAACGAGTTATGTTCCTGAGGCTTGTTTGTAAGTCCAATTATTTGTAAGTCCAACTTTACTCTTGTAGATACCAAACATATTGTAAAAAATGAAAAGATTATGGATATTTAGTACAGCTATACCCTTTAATATAGCCTTAAAACCTGGCTCACTCTTCTCCTCTTAGGTAATGTTTGTTCTTTCTGGAATTTTCTTCAAAATAATTAAGTCATCCACATTACACACCTGTTCTGGCAGGTAACCCCCTTCAGTGATGATGTTTGTATCTCTGAAAGTTTGTAAGTTGAATGTTCTTAAGTAGAGGAGCACCTTACACCATTACCCCCATTAATGTCATTTCGTTATACTGTATAGTTGAAAAAAATTAAAAATATGTATGAAAATGATAAATGTACGACAATTTAAAAAAAATTGGTATGAAAGTGCTCAGCGCCTGATTGTGATAACAGCAGGCTGTGTAAGCGACCAGAGTGGGCGTCATATTTGTTTGTTATTGTTCAGTGGTTGGTTGATGCTCTTCCAACATTCACTCAAAATCCAATTATAAATTTATTTGAGCCCGAGAACAATTAGATGTGGTAAAGAGATTTGAAGAAGGACAATGAGCTGTGGACATAGCAAGAGCTGTTGGTTTGCAGCATACAACTGTTGGTAACAACAATTTGAGGGAATGCAGAAAATATTGAATCATGTGCTAAAAGTGTTACTCCATTATCTGCTACAAAGTTAACTCATAATAGAAGTGGCATTCAGGAAAATATGGAAAGAATGATGAACATGTGGATCAAGGATCAACATAAACAAAACTTTCCATATTCGTTGCTCTCCTTACAGGTGAAAGCTCTTGACTTTATTTGAATCTTTAAAACAAGAAGAAAGTGATAGTGCTGAAAGTGAAACTTTGTGGCAAGTTGTGGGAAAATTTTTACCAGAAATGTACTCAAGGAACATAACACCCTATTTATATCATTGTCTATGGTAAAATCGTTTTCACTTAACGTCATTTCACTTAGTCGTGGTTTTCAGGAACCTAACAAGGACATTAATGGGGGGATTGGTGTACTGTATATACACGATATGAAGATACCCATTAACTCGCAAGTAGAATTAAAATCCATTTCAACAAAGTGGGTTGGGACTAAATTAATTTTGTAGCTAATAAGATTTTTTTAATGGGTGCTGTGTAGGGGTACCCTTAGAATCTTTATAAAATACACACTCACAAAAGAATAACCTTGTAAAATAAATGTTGACTTTTGCTTTTCCTTCAGTAACGAATATGCGCCATCACATAATGCCTTCACTCATTAAAGGAAATAAAATAATTGAACTTCATCATAATGAGATTACTGGATTATGGAATAAGTCTACAGTTCTATTACAATATCAACTGGACCAACAACTGCAAGGACAATGATAGGAAATCACTGGTGTTAACAAATGGATAAAAGAATTCTGAGCACAAAATATTTACAATAAAACTAATAATTTTACTTACTGGATTAGCACTTGGATCCTCAGAAAGGTTCTTTGTTAAGTCAAATGCACTATAGGTGACTGCTGTCCACAATGGGGCAGCAGGAGGAAGGGTGTAATCATCTGGTGACACTAAACCATAAGTTGCTTTCATTTCCAACTCAGGAGGGTCATATGGAACCTTTTGATGGTAACTGAAAAAAAAAGTTAAATTAATATTTAATTTCTGTGTAAACTGAGAAATTAAAAGATTGTATTTTCTTCCAGAGAATTACTGTACTATTAAACTGAAGAGCTGTTATTTAATCAATCTTTCTTCTTTAAGTTTTTTTCTACTGCGGTACTAAACTCACCTTCCACAACAAGGCTCTAAATATCTATCAGATTTACTACTTGTCATTGAGCATAACCTAGCATCATCAATCAGCTGCTTGTCCATCCCTTAAAACCAAATGACACCAAGCTCTCTGGTCATTCACACACACAACTGCTTCTTGTATGGCCAACCCCTCACTTCTAGTGCATCCTTCACTTCATTATTCCATCTCTTTAGTCTTCCCTGTCCCTCCTTCCATCCACCTCTAAATTACTGTGTACCCTTTTATCAATATTTCAATTTCCATCCTCTCAATAATCCTCCTAAACAAACATGGATATACTGTACAGTCTGAACAATATTGATTTTACTTCCACATCTGCTTATACAGTACAGGTACAGGTACTTGTATTTCATAATGTCTGCAGCATATTCACCCAACATAATGCTCTTGAGCACATAATTTCTGTATTTCCTCATACTGTACATGTATATGATTTTTTTTTCTTGAATGTAGATCCAAAGTTTTGGTGCCCTCCACTATATATAAAAGGATAAATGTGGCCCAGAGCCTACAAAAGGGTGTGTGTGTGTGTGTGTTATTAACGGTTTATTGAAAAAGTCGGCAGCCCGAAGGCTGAAAATATACATTGGAGAAAAATGACTTATTACATACAAAGACAAGGGGTGGGTGGGTCGTTTAACAAAAGCTTTCATTATTGAAAGGAGAAGGAACAATGATTGAACATACAAATTATTATAGTTTACAGTTGATGACGCGGGCTTGGGCTGGTCATGGAGACACCAGGTGGTGTGGTGTTCATGTGGTGTAGTAACTCGTCCTCGGGTGTTGATATGAAGGACCTCACGTGGTCATGGGGATACCAGGTGGTGTGGGTGATGTCATAGTACCTCACCCTGCTGGGTGGTGTTGTGTTATCTCGTAGTCAGGTGCATAGCCGGCCGGCCCTCTGTTGTCAGTTCCCAGGGGTGCTTATCCCACTGGTGGGTCACGGCTCTCACTGGTACTGTCTAGTGCTGAATTCACTGGCTTAAACACTGTTCATCAATGTTCAAAACTGGTCCCACTTCTTTCCAAAACGAAATTGTCACTTTTGATTATGTTTATATCCCGGTGGTGAGGATGGGTCGGGGAGAGGGACTTGGGCAATGGGCCGAACATTGGCCAAGGGGGACCGCTGCTCAGCAGGAGCAGCGCCTGAATAGGTCTCAACCCTACGGTGGTCAAGGATATAGTGTGTGTGTGTTGCTAAGGAATCGGCGTCCCAGCTGGTCTTCTTTACTATGGTGAAACAGGGAGTGTATGCAAATGGTGACTGTATTAAAATTTCATTTGGCTTTTATTTACTGATTTGGCAATACTGTACAGTATTTTTTGCTGATATTATTTTTATTTATTCCTCACATTTCCTGGAGTGAACGTATTAACGGTATTAATCTCGATTTAGTGAACTAACCCAAGCGAAAAATAATGGAAAAAATGCATTCCGCTAAATCGAGAGTTCATTATGTCGAATTCTGTTAAATCGAGAGTACACTGTAATTGCCTCTTTTGATAAGTTTGTCTCGGCAGGGGCGGATCTAGGGGGTCCGGACCCCTCTCCCTGTTCATCAGAAAATGTAAATACTTTTTCTTTAATACAATATTGTGCTCAGGCATTTTTGTAAAGCAAAAAATAATTATTATTGACCTAAGAATATCTCCTAACGTCAAGTGCACATGGTTTCAAAAAGGCCTCAAAATGTCCATAATATTGGTCAGATTTCAATAAAACTTACAAGGATTAGGGATATGAACCAGCAGGGCACTAGAGGAAGATAATATTATTTTATGATACCTGGTGTTTGTGGTCAAGCAAAAGAATCTTTATTCTTTTCTGCTATAACAGACTGGAATTACTAAACTACATCAAAATCAGTTATGGTATTAAACAAATCAAAGTGAAAAAAAAAATAGGTAACAGATGAAGCTATAACATGAGAAGAGAGTGAGTTTCAGTATTATTAAACCACAGAATGTAATACTGCAGTACTGATCCACCAGCCTCGGACAGTTCAAGCATAATGTAATGCTTGTTGAATTCTATCAAATAACCTCTCACTAATACTCCTATAGATATAGTATTACCGATTAATGGTTGCCCCTTATGTTTGCTGATGGCTGGCCCTAGGGCCACCTAGGCGTGAATTTGTTTAAAGCGTAGAAGCTATCGCCAACACAACAACCACACCCTAAGTTAAAAAGTTGCATGACCCAGTGTCAAGAAATAATATGAGAAGACTGGACATCTCACCAACTGCACTGAATAATCATTACCCCAGAACATGATCTGAATATTAACATTCAGGTCCCCAAGTACTGCTGGGTAGACAGAAGCAAATGGCATTAAGAAACTTGCCCATAGTTTCACTCTGCCTGGGAATCAAACCCAGGTTCACCCGCTTGTGAGGCAAGAATGCTTACCATTACAACACAGGTCACCAGGATCCTTTGCTTAGGCTTACTCTTGGTCTCCAATTACTGATATGAGACCAAGCACAAGACAAAGCAAAGGATCCTCTTGGAAGTGCAGGAAGTGCACGGCCTATGTGGACTACTGTATACGGTATGCCTACTTGTCTATTTTCATGAACTGTAAAACTGCAGTTTATAAACATGTTTATCCAATTGTAAACCTGTATTACAATTTCATTGAATAAGTAATATTATTATTATTATTAATGACAAAAGGGCTGAAGGATGTACAATACAGGAAGAGAAGGGGATGGATTTCCTGTGAACAGGAATGTGCATGACTGAGTGGAAAGAATAGTATCGAGAGTTTGGGGAAGTAAAAAGTTGCCAATAGGTGATGCTGACTTACATGAAACACAAGGGGTAAACCAGATTTGGGGGCCTTGCTGTGGAGTGGAAGTACAGTATAGTCTACCATAATTAAAAAAATCGTTTACAAAGCAATTTTGAATGAATAATTAATAGACAAATGTATGTGTGTGTGTGTGTGTGTGTACTGAAAAAATACTTTATCATAGATTTAATAGAAAATACTCACATCATCCCATTTTCTCGTTCACACTTCTCTAGGGTGCGAGCAACTATTGGTGCCAACCGACGGAAGAATTCATGAGTCTCTGGTTTTGCCTGTGTCCCTGGTCCCTTTGTGCGGGCATATTCTTTGCATAGTTCACCAGCCTCCTCATATTCTTAAATGATACAAAAAACTCTTTAAGGAAAATAACATTTCACATAATTTTACTTACACAAATGAAAGATTGAAGCAAGAAATTCCATCTTACAGCCAAGAGGATAGAGTGAAGGACCTGTGAGGTACTTCACTGCTAAAAATCCCAAGGCAAGGCTAGCTAATATCAAGAGGATGTGTAGTGCTTAGTATTGGAGAGCTGAGGTTGCGTGTGTTTGACACACATGACAAGCAAGGCATGGTTTCTTGCTCTTGGTTGTCAGTGGAAACTGGTGAATGAAGTGGTCTATATGTGCTGTCAACATCAGGTCTGGGTTGTTTTCACTGATCCTGGGACCAGTAGGAGCTGCAGCATCACTATCTTGAAAGGTTGACCAACAACATCTAAGACAAAAGTCACTGAGAGCAAGCTTCTCTGCTGTCTGGACCAGGTACAAGTTGTACAGGTGTGGAAATGTGCTCCTCACCCCTGTGGTAACCAGTGTCTCCAAATGGCCAACCTATATGACCCAGTCCTACAGTACTATAACAAACCTATCCACCAATCTCTTCTGTCTTTACACGACCAATACCCATTAATTAAAAAATAGTGATACCTGTACCACTACTGCGACATTGCTGTTTGGAGACATAGGTTACCACAGGGGGTGTAGCAACACATTTCTGCAACTGTACATGTTATAAAATGCAACATCAACAAGATGGAAGAACTACTTGTACCATATGACACTTTTTTGGATGCACTCAGCACAGGATATCTACACGTCTGATTTGTCCACCAATCATACGGTGCTAGGACAATTCGTCGCCAGTCAATTCGTTCCTGGTAAATTTGATACGAATGGTTTACAATTTGAACCTTACCTAACATTCATAGAGTGCTGTATAGGATTGTGCATTGCCTTGTGTTATCTATTTCTGGCTATATTTTGTTGAGTAGTGACCGTGTTATCTTGTGATTATTTCTTGATTGTCCGAGTAAAGAGATATCCTCTATTCCGGTTGTTTGTCACCCTTGGAAATCCCTGGCTTTTGACTCTCATATTTTAAAGATCCTGAATAGGTTGGCCAGGACTGGTGTGACTGACGACGAATTGACCGGCGACGAATTGACCGGACGCCCAATTATGAATTCACATTGTAATCCTTGATTGCAGTCTGCTTCCAAATTTTCTTTTGTATCATGTGGTCAAATTTGTCAGTTTTCACTACTGTATGTTCCCCTGGTGTACGGTGGACAAAAAGTGGACATCCTTCTTCTTGTGCCAATTCAAGCACAGGGTGTCCTTGAGGTGTATGACTTTGCAAGCATCTCGGAGAATGGCTGTAATTTTGGTATGTTTTTCTGGTTGATCTTGGTCCGTCCCACACACACACTTGTGTTGTGGTTTAGCAGAAAATGACACAAATCTGGACTTGTATACCAATTATTGGTAAACAAGATGTGGCCTAGGTCCAGATGTGATACCATCAACTTCCAATATGTGCAAGAATCTCAACATAAGGATGAATATGGTGCAACACACAAACTTGGTGATTACTAGCATTGAGATAAGGGAGCCCCTGGTACAGTACAACTTGATGTTTGACTTCTTGCACAGGGACATGAGCAAAAGCCAAGCCAAAAAGATATATTGTACAGTTCCCTAGCGTTGGTATCTTTCCACTGATGCATCGATGAGTGTGGGGTGATGGTCAATTTGGTGATCACTTGTGTGAGGAAACAGTTGTTCTCTGTTGCAATGGAGTACATGAGATAATTGATGAAGAAGACTGGGAGAAAAATATTTCTTCCAATTCAACATGGAGTCCTGCACAGTCCTGGATTTTGCCCAAGAGTCAAAATGCACTGACCTAGACAACAATACACTGTCAGACCGTGCACCATTGGAGGATGGCCAGGAACCTAACTTATATTTATCATATTGTATTCATCAGACTTGAAGATTCAATAAGGGTGAAACTCATGTTATATAAATTGAAATGTGTTCCCTAATTCGTGAATTCTATATGTGAGAATTTCCATAAATGGGATGTGTTAAAACCAAGTGATACTTATATTTATGTCTAAAAAAAACAGTGCTTGTGTCAGTGCTAATAATGCTTCAAAAGGAAGGTGGTGTAATTTATGACTTTTATTTCTTAAACCAAATGCATACTTACCAAAACAACCGCAACTAATATATCAAACAGTACATTATTTACATATCAAATGGAAACAAAATACATAAACTCTTACTCTTCTTAGCTTCCTGCAGTGACCGGATGGCTTCCCCACATTTGTCTTGATTTAGCATATTCTGTCCCGCATAATTGTGAGCCTGTAGAGAAATAGTAGCATTAATAAAATTATTCCTATTTTAACATTTTTCTTTGATGAATACACCAAAGAACTTTAATTATCTGTAATTAAATACGATATATATCTACAACAGTATAATTCTTACATAGGCAGCATATAAGGATGCTTTCAAACGGAAGTATTTTATCCAATGGCCAAACTTCTTTTCTTCCAAGGAGGTGATCGCATCTGCAGCTGTTGTGAACATTTTGGAAGTCTCGTTTGCAAGAGCAGATACGAGTCCAGGATTGTGCTTCAATTCTATGGCTCTGGCAATTGTTACTGAAAGTATTCACATTATCAATAAGCCATCACAAACACCTGTTGAAGACATACATTACACTTGTTGACAAGGGTTCGGTAACATGGATCAAACACGCTGCACTTTATTAATTTTGGGGTGCTGATTTCAAATATGGCAATAAAAGAGTCAGTCACGTAACATTTTTATGATATACTGTATACGTATATGTAGTGTAGGAATATAAGATACATACTTGTGTTGGTAGGGATATATTAAATGCAAGGTTAGCATTACTGAACAGCAAGTGGGAGGAAATGCTGTCCCTAACCTCACTTTACAGTAAGCAGGATTCCCTCTGTGTATGTATTGATGTAGATGGACTGATGTCAGAGTTGGGAGAAAAACATGATCCAAAAAAATGGCAGCTTTTCATAGATTCCTCCAAGTTTAGTTTGAAAGCAGGATTGTTGCATAATGGGAACCAGAAGCCCTCAGTTCCAGTAGCGCATTCTGTAGGTTTGAAGGAAACGTATGATAGTATGGAGAAAATACTGACCGCTAGTAAATACAAGGGGTATAGATGGTAGATCTGCCACGATTTGAAGGTTATAGCCCTTCTACTCGGCCTTCAAGGAGGGTTCACGAAATATTGCTGTTTTCCGTGTTTATGGGACAGTAGAGCAACAGAAAAACAATACAACACAAAAGGACTGGCCAAGAGAGAAGAGTTTGTTCCAGGAAAAGGCAACGTTAAATACTCCCTTGGTAGACCCAAACGATGTACTTCTACTTCCTTTACACATCAAGCTGGGACTAATGAAGAATTTTGTGAAGGCTATGGACAAACAAGGTGATGGGTTTGTGTACCTGAGGGGAAAATTCCCAAAGGTCAGTGATGCGAAAGTCAGAGAGGGTATATTTGTTGGCCCACAAATAAGAAAGTTACTTCGTTGATTGCGACTTTGAAAACAAACTGAATGAAAATGATCTAGCTGCACGGAAATCCCACATCTGTAGTCAAGGGGTTTCTTGGAAACAAGAAGGAAGAAAACTACAGTATTGCCAAATTGTAGAGGAACTCGTAAAAAAAATACAAAAAACTTGGGATGCAGGAAGTCCCTGAAAGTCCACCTCCTAAACTCGCACTTGAACTTTTTTCCTGAAAATCTGGGGGCGGTGAGTGATGAACAGGGAGAGCGATTTCATCAGGACATTAGACGTATGGAGGAAAGGTACCAGGGTAGATGGGATCCTGCCATAATTGGGGACTTTTGCTGTTTTTTACAATCAGAGGACAATACAACACATAAAAGGATGAGATAAAATAACAAATGCCCATGCAGAGCTAATTTAATACTTTTTGTGTCTTCTTATGATTACAGTATTTTCATTCTTTATTGAATTTTAGTGTGATGACGTGGAAAAAAGTAACAGGAAAAATAGTACTGTACTGTACAGTATTTTCAGTTTTTGTAATATTTAATATTTTATATAATAAATAAACTGTATGTGCCAGAGAATTTTTATTTCCAGATTTGAAATCAGCACCTCAAAATTACCAAATGGAAGCTGCTCTGAACCATGTTACGGAATTTTGTTTTAAATTTGTTGCCTAGTGTTATTATTCATCTGTTGGGAATCAATTCTAATTAGTCATCAAACAAAAATATCAATGACTATACTTTTTACACACTAAACTGGCCTGAAAGTCATGCCCCTCTTCTATACTAATAACAGATTGGTTCATAGAAAATTCAAACTAAATATGTTCACAATTGGTAAGCAGACCTGTTAGTGTACTATCTAAAATAATGCTAACTATCTTGACTAAGAAAATGCAAATCATTTCAAGGCATTAGCACTTCAGAAAGGATGTTAGAAATTTTTTTATATATATTATAAATAATCGATATAAATACGCGCTTATATACCGTGAAGTCCGAAGGGAGGTAAAACACTCAGGGGAACCAATCAGCTATTTGTAGCTATAGATGAGGGGCGGACCTTATGGGCCAGATTAGCATGGACGTAATATAGTACACAAATATAACATATGGCTAGACAGACATTCTCAAAAGCTGGTGATCTGTCAGTTTTAATCAAAGGTAGTGTTACAATAAGCTCTGGAAACCATTTGCAGCTATAGTTTTTTCTTAGATTTTGAATTTCCATTCTTTGTATCTGGAGACACCATTATAACCATACAAACATCATCCAACTCAGTTACTTAGACATGAGTTTTATAACACTAGTAATGGATACCCACACACACACACACACAACAGATCATCAAAAACCTCACCTTCCTGAGCCTCAGCTGTGGCCTGGTTGAGGTAAGCTGTGTGGACCCTGGGGTCACTGTCACTCCCTGCTGGCGGGGTTTCTAATAGTTTGTTCACCCATTCCTCTTGAACATATTTCAGTAAGCCAGCTCCACGACGCAGACTACGATGTACTATCTTGGCTTCATCCATGTTTACACTTAATATGGAGAGAGAGAAAAAATAAACAAAAAGATGGTTGTTATATTGCTTTGATGAAGAGTGTAGAAAAAAATATTCAGAAAATTGTGAAAGAAAATTTTAGGTTTTAAAAGAAACCAGCAATTATTAAGTACAGGTAGTACAGTAGTCTGAATAGAAGAGAATGGAAATTGGTTGACAAAGGTTTTATGATGAACATTATTGGTAATTGAAATAAATTTACTAGGATCAGAAAACTGGAGCTGGGTATGAATACTCGTCTACATGTTAATCATAAAAGAAGCCTTCATGGGATCGGTCAGTGTTTTTTTTTCCCCATTACTTTTGTATGGGTGAAAAGCTTATGGATTAATAGAAGATAAGATATGGAATGAAGATGTAAGAATACGGGTGAAGTCAAGAATTAAGTCACATGACTGATATACAGTACAGTATACCGAGGTACTACAGACAATGTAGCTTGTGATACATGGTACTGTAGTGTAGTTGCTGATGACCAAAAAGGAAAACTGTATGATTCTTTGACAGATTCAGTCAATGTTCTTCAAACTTTAGGAATAAATCTATGCAGTGCTGTACACACCATGTCCTGAGGAGGATTATGTATGGAAAAGGAAGAATGACTGAAGACACAAGTCAAAGTGATGTGTAAAAATGGTGAATACTGTAGTCATGAACATTCAACCAATGTAACTCTGATTGCACTTTTGCCACCATCGTGAACAGAAGACAAATACCGTGGATATTTATGTTTCCTGTGAACTTTATATACTTTTTCTACCTCATTACACTAAGAATACCTGTATAATGATTGTCAGAAATTTAAACTGAAATATATTTGATATTGTTACTCTTACTTGTATTCACTACATATGAAAAAAAAAAATATCATCATGCCTGACAATTAACATCACATTTTGCCCATAAAATAGTCTTATACACACTGTATACTGTACTGTACAGCTCGTCCCCGACTTACGACGGGGTTAGGGACCCAAATCCAGGTCGTAAGTTGAAAATGCTTAAATAATATACAGTACAGTATAGAAAATCTAAAATTGGTGTCTCTTTTTTTCTTCTCAGCACCACAAAACTTTCACTTTTAAGCTTGCCAGCCATTTTAAAGTGAATTACAAACGAAAATTTTGTCCGTACACAGTGCAATCACTGATGTTGGGACTCGAAAATACGTAATTTGACAAAATTTTTGTACGACTGAGCGGTCGTATGTCCGGGTGGTCGTAAGTCGGGTAGGTCGTAAGCCGGGGAAGAGCTGTATATGGAGCAGCTGCCACTTTGTAATAACATGCTACATTTCCCCACTATCACAAGTACAGTACCTTGTACTGTACTGCCTTATCCACAATTAAAGAGTACAATGATGGATGACATTACATATGCATCTTGCACACACCCATATTTACATGAAACACCCACTAGAAACTTTATCAGAGAAGATAATGTACAAAGCAATGAAAAAAAAGTTGACCAAGACCTGATCAACAGCTACAGTAGTGTGGACTAGTCAAAATCTTCTTTCAGTCAGTCAATCAGGATCATTATTTACAAAGCTGGATGACACAGCTAAAAACTCACTCATCCTGAGCTGAGATCTTGAAGGCGTGCTTCATGTACCAGAAGGCAGCATTCTGAAGAACCGATACTAACTCGAACACAGCATCAAAGTGACCCCTGCAAATTAATATAATAGTGTCATTAAGATTTGGGATATCACATGTAAAACACATTTTCTTTGAAACAACTAAAATATCCAGGTCCCTGGACAATGTCCAAGGGTCATTTTTGTGAATTTAAATTATTTTACAGTGAAGCTTTCTTATTTAAAAATTACCTACAATCTTTAATTGAGTTGAAATTCGAGATTAAATGAAGAATTAATAAATATATGAACTGTACTCATGAAATTTATTAATTGTTGTTATTGTTCAGACAATTTTCTGTAACTCAGATACATCAAGATTGAACAAAGAAGGAAATATAATAATTACAGGTACTCATTTAATAAGTATCACATCCTCTTTTTTTTTACAGTGCAATAGACTGCATGAAAAATATACATACAGTACTGTACTACATTTAATACAGTGTACTGTTTAATATCAAAAGCAATTATGAAAATAAAACCATTCACTATATATTCAACAGTGTTTAATATTGCACTGTCATCATATACCCCAGTAGTGAATTAGAGAGTTGTGTGCAAATTTAAAAAAATATTTCAACATACTCTGGTGTGTTTCCTAGCATGGACTGAGTCCAACGAAAACGAATGGAATGCCGCAGCTTGCTCCACCCTGAGCTCTGATCCTCTGGTACTTCTATAAGGCCACGCAACAGAGACAGATATAATGTGAGTGCTGGTTCCACAACATCAATTTCATGATTAGCATCAGGTAGCAGTTGAAGAAGTCTTAATCTTGATTGTCGCAGGTCACTGGAATGACAAAGACAGGAATAACAACATTGCACATCATTTTACTTATATTCAAACAAAAAACTCCTTCTGGTGTTACACAAAAATGTTTTTAACTTTATCTCTAAGTACTGTAGTACCCACTGATTTTTTTTTTTGAGGGGGGGGGAATACAGCAATGTAGCTCAAGGTCAATCTCCTGTACACCTCTGCTGATAAATATAAAGTGGACTTGGCACTACCAATTTTTCTGACTGGATTAAAATAAAAATGACAATGGAATTTGTAAACATCGACCATCAAAGCCTGGAGACAAAAAACTGCCATAACTCACACAGGTAAAGGCATGAAAAAGGAAAAAATATCCTCAGACTTCACTTGGTAAATTTTCCCAAGTATTAGAAATATAACACACACATCAGTAAAGTCAAATATCCAAATGAGGCAAAGCTTGTGCCTGATAGTGAGTACTGTGCACTTAACTTATAAAGCTAATGGAAAGTTTACTTTAGTATGGCATTAAAATTTTGTTCTGCAATCTCAAAAGAAACTTAAGCCTGTTTTCTTCACACCATTCAGGTCTTCCCAAACATTTTATAGACACTTGCTCCTCCTTAAATAGCTACTAAAATGGATGTGTTAAGGCATTTTGAAGGGGGAAATGAGCTGTAAATATTATTAGTTTGAGGAGGAAGTTATAGAGTGATTATAGGAGAATGATGATATATTGACAGCCTATTTGTAAACTTAATAACATTGCAAGTGTCTATGATATCTGCCCTATTATGTCTTGTCTTAAGAGTTGTTAGTCCTAAAAACTTCAGTCTTCTTAGATAAGTGAGATAACATAGTTCAAGAACCATCTCAGTAGCTCTTTGTTGCACCTTTTCTAGGGATATAATGTCTTTCTGGATGTAAGGTTTCCATGCCTGTATACAGTACCTAAATCTCAGTGTTTTTTTTTCCATTGCTGTTACCACTTGTTGTACTGTGAACAAGTTATGGTGGCTCCTCTGATAGGTCCTGCCTCATGGAAAAGCATGTTGAGGATGAAAACATTGAAAACCGAAAGTAGGAAAGTTTCGATTCCTCCACCCATGTCCCTATTCATGAGGTAAAAAAAAAAATTCTCCTTTTGAAAATTCCCTTGTGTAGCTTTTTCCCAAGAGTCTGAAATCTAATGTACCTGTAATTCCTTATACAAAAAAATCAGAAAGAATTAAGATTCTGTGCCAGTAATAACACTAAATGGCGTTTAATACTTGATGAGAATGGTCTGACCTTAATATCAGCTTGAGGAAATTTCTATATAGAAGATAAAAACCCTCTTACCTTAAGAAACCGACAAAAAAGTGCAGGAAGTATTAATTTTGCATAATTAAATTTTTACAATTTCTTAAGGTTTCTGTCTGGAGAAAAGGGCTCTTTCTGCCATGTTTATGCTCTGTAATTGAGCAAACCCAATTTAACTTACAATACTACAGTCATCTGTTTTATTCATGAAAAACAATATAAAAAGCCTTTTTTGTAAAAAGAACCCTTCCTACAGTCTAAACATGACGAGCATGGTAAAATCGTGTTTGGCTGTTGGTATTATTGTATTTTACTTTTGGACATAGCGTCCCCGAAAGTTATGAACTACTAAAACATTTAGATCTTGCTATTCTGAGCATTTTGAACCCCATATATACATGGTGGAAATGGATCATAGCGACACAATTGAATTTAAAGGATTTTAAGTAGTTTTCAGTCTTCGTCTGTGAGATATCTGCGCATCAAGCATGCGCAATGTTGATTGACGTCAACCAGTCGTGACCAATGAGGTATCGATATCACGCAAATTTTTTTTGACCGATCACATTTTAATTTTTTTTAAAGAAAGCAGCCTGGGTACGATTTTAATTTCATTGACCAGTCTCACAATTGCCTTGGTGGAGATTTGTTGTCATTTGTGCTCCTATGATTATTTTAAGTTTATTGCTGAGTTTTATGAGAAAGCTGATCATTTTATCCAATTCTTACATATCCCTGGTCTTTCCACTTCTAACTAAGGTATTGTACTTTCGGACATGACGTGCCCCAAAGTTTTTAACTTCTGAAACATTTTGGTTAGTTTAAGCTAGGACGTCTGGGGGCGGAGCCCTCGGTAGGGGTCAGATTAGGCCTACCGGGGGCCTGGGGGCAGAGCCCCCTGCTAGGAGTTAGGTTAGGTTTTGTTAGGTCATATGACTCGTTTTCGCTTTCTCCCCCACCCAAAACCCCCGATTTCCGAGGTTCTCCCCCATTATTGTTAAGTGGGGAGGGAGGGACTAGCAATTTCCGCCAAAAGTGAAGGTCAGATTCGTTTAAAACACGCCAAAATACATTGTCTTAAGGTAAAAATTTACAGGCTGTCTTTATCATCTTATTTCGTATGTAAAGTTATATTAGTAATAGTACATAAAATGCATTACTCGCACAGTTTTTGACATTCTCTGATAAGAAAATTTTTATCTTCTTTGGAGAAATTTCCTCAAGGTGGTACTAAGACCGAACTAATCTCGTCAAGTATTACCTTCACATCAAAACCACACACAGAAAGGTAAATATTTCCTAGTGTGCCTTCCATGGACCTCATACATACTTAGCATTCCTCACTAAACATTGGTTGGAAAAAAAATTTCCCAGTGAAATTTATTTAATTCCATTTATTGCTTCGAAATTTAAGTACAGGTACAATAATATAAGAGAACATTCATATTATTGAGTTAACGATGACTCATTGTCACTGGTTTTGACGTAGCTAAACCCCATAGAGATTGTCAAGGGAACTTTTTCACTTCAACAATGACTCAAAGTTACACTACGATTATTTATTAAAGTGAGCTTTATATCCTTACCTGCATATCTTTAGAGCCTGACTGTCAGATGCTACCATTTTTAGGTCAAATTTGGCCTCAGCCGTAGCTTTAAGAGGATTCCTGTGAAACCAATGTGCCATGTTTGTTTACGTCTGCGTGAGTCAGAGCTGCCAACTGTTCCGAGCTTCCCTTCACCTGCAGCACCCAGCTTTAACACTGTAATGTATCATCTAATATCAAACAGTGTTGATGTATTATTTGTTTCAAGAAATCAACTTTATGTTTTTTTCTATTAGATAGTAGAAAAAATATAGCAGTATTGTGTTACATTCTATTATTGTAAAATTGGGATCTCTATTTCTAAAGTTTATCTTGTTTTAGTTTTATGGTTTCGAGGCAACTAAACAAAACGATTTATTTTTAAACTTTGTATCATGTAATATCTATTGTAATATTCAGTGATACGTAAAGTGTAGCACATGCAAGCGATATTCCACTTCAATCCCCGGAATAGGGCAACGTATTCCCCCGTCGCACTGCTGATACACTAATTTATTTTTATCTGCACTACATATGCCTCATTAAGATACAATCTCTTGGGAGCAGTTTTGTGTATTATTGACTTTGGTAGCTGGAGGTCACGAGAAGCACTACAAATATCTTTACTTAGAGCTGCGTTGACTGTTTCTTAGACAACAGCACACCGGCTTCTGAAATGCCAAGGGAGTTCATTTCCAAGCCTGTCATCACGTTTCCTATCATCAGAAACTTATCAAACCAATTGCTAACGCTGGGTTGAGAGAGGGGTCCTTGCCATGTTGACGTCGGTAATTCCGTTGAAAATGTCAGCTTGACACTTATTTCGACACCGCTCAGATGATGCATTGAGCTTTCTCTTACGTTATTACCATTTTTATTTAGCTTGTTCTGTGTTGAGGGGTTTTCACCACGGTCATCTTGGGAGTGCCCTAGCTCTCGATGAATAGCAAGGAGTCACTCAGATTGAGAATTGCTAAACAAAAAAAAACATTATGGTTAAGCAACAACATGGATAAGCCCGAATCATTCTATTTCTTTTAGGTTGGTTGAAATAAAATATATCCTGTCTGCATGGCGAGGCACTCTAGAACGATCTTGTGCTGAGATGCTGTCATATTATGGTGGATGAAAATGGTTGAAGTAAGTCTTGTGGAACACAAAGAAGATATATTCCAATGTCTTCAAGATTTTATTTCCGATCAGTGGTGAAGAGGTTAAGAGAGAAAAGATTGGCATGAGCAGCAACGCCCCAAACAGGTAATCAGCACTCGAGTAGAGGTGACTAAAATGACTGAAAACAGGTTAAATTTATGCTTTTTTTGCAGACATTTTTATGTTCAGCAAACCATCGTCTTATATCCTGCCAGGGATCGGTGGGACACTTTGCTAACATATAAAAAAAAATTGTTTCATTTAAAGTCATCCCTCATAAACCGGTTACCATAAACAGTGTCATGGGTTGCGTTAGGCTTACCCACGCAACCAACTCCAAAGTTTGTTTTACTAGAGATAAGACACCCGGCGAGGCATAACTGGGACATGTATTTTCCATTAGTGTATGTTAGCCAGCCTTTAGGGGGGTGGGCAGTGAAACAGTGTTGTACTGTTCATCGCTTCACACCCAAAAACCTCATTTTAAGTAGTATCCCCTGCGCCATGGGTTAGTTAAGACGTCTCCATTCTCTCCCTCCTGAAGGGAGCGGGACACCACACCACACAGAGTCCTCCACCGCCACTCCGCCCTGTGGACCGTCATCGACACGAGATTAAGTGTATTAACCTAGGTTGTTATCCCCGTGGAAATATCACGTGTGGATGCCTGGTTGCAACAAGAGCAATCCAGGCTGGCCTATCAAACCTACAGTAAATGGTTAATTAATTCACGCTTACAGAGTTCTCCTGCACGACACCCGTCTACAGTGACCGTGATCGACACGAGACCAAGTGTGTTAACCTAGGTTTGTTATCCCCGTGGAAATATCACGTGTGGAAGCCTGGGTGTAACAAAAGCAATCCAGGCTGGTCTATTGCACCTAAATGGTTAATTCAAGTCACGCTTACCAGTTCTCCTTGCCGCGACAACCGTCTACAGTGACTGTCAGTGATGCGAGACTATGTGTGGTAACCCAAGAGTACTTTTTGTTGTTATGGCCCGTGGAAAGAAGTTCTTGTGCGGAAGCCTGGTTGCAACAAAAGCAATCCAGGCTGGTAGTAAATGTATCACTTGAAGAATTCAGGCTCTGTTAAGTCATACCTACAGTAGAGTAATCACACGTGTTCCCAAGTTGATAATTCCCTCTTTTAGAAGAATAATTTTATTACAGCGTGAACGTGAGTGACTCGTATATCCATGCAAATTGTAAATCATTGTATGGAAGCTTGACAAATAAATGTAAGTGCAATTATCTGCCCGTATCTGTGATCCTATCTTATTATTACTAAAGATAATGACTGATTGGTTATGACAAAGTATAACCAAAAACTTAGATGGATGTTGGAAATTAATGGAATTCATTAAATCATCATTTATCAAGTATAAATCATGGAATGTCGAGTGGTGGAGTGAACTTCTACGTAGATACGCCATAATCTCCTGTAAGTAACCAGTGTGAAGGTATCGAACTCTACGGTAAGAAATAAGAAATACGACATATTATTATCTTTATATAATATAATCTACTCCTACTACCACCGATCTACTCAAAACCATGACAAACAGTCATAAAATACTTTGACAGACGGCTTGTCATGTATCAAGAAAGTTATGGTGATAATAGTCTTTGGATAGTCAGGTGTTGAAGATTTTGTAGGGGTATCGAGATATTAATGTTGTCTAGCACTCAGGATGGAAGGAAACTCTAATGTGGTTTTCTTGTATAATATAAGTTATATGATAGACAGTCTGGTGCTGGAGGTGCTTGTTCAGGAAGATGGGCAGAATGAGAGTTGGTTGGTGAGGAAGCTCAGAGAAGGACAGCTGGTGGGTCGCCATGCTCGCTGGCAGGAGCGAGGGCCGCCAGGCAGGCGAGGAGGAACGAAGGCAGCCAGGCAGCGGTGGAGGAGGAGGTGTTGCTTGTTCATAGAAGAATGGTCAGAATGAATCTCAATGGAGAGACAGAGCTTATATACCCAGCAGCCGCTATGAGTCATGTTGGGAAAACCCAGAAAGTCGCCGGTGACTAGTTCCGCTGCTAAGATACGGTAATATCTGGTTGGTTGCTAGGGAGGATGGTAGCAGGTGGTGACGCCGCTACGCAGTTTGTAGGGGAGACGTCCACTACAATTTCATCTGAAGGGCCGATGGGTGGGCGGGTGCGGCTAGTGCTGTTGTTGTTGATTATTTGAACAGTTCATAATGTCTTTCAGGTAATGAGGTCTTTACGGAAACGAGTTTTTCTTCAGGTTGTATTTGTTGTGGCCGTTGCAAGGATGTGGCGTCAAGTAAACATGATTTTGTCGATGTTGCAGCAGATGTGATTTCCGTATGTAAACATAAAGAAATGCGTGAAAGTGAATTTAAAGCATGTTATTGCTGATGCAGAGAAGGAGAAGGAAATTAAAACTCCAGTGGATATAAATTAACACATTTAATGCAATGGGGATGATTAATAGGAGTGTTAACGACATGAAACACTTCTCTCGTGTTACCTGGACCTCACACCTTATGCTTATACTGAGGGCGTCGATCATGAGGTCAAGTATATATGGATATTTTTGGCAGTATGTCTGAGTGCACCTTGAAAACTCGCGGCTCAACGCAGCTTACTTAGCTTATTAGTTAATTGAGCCATTGAGTGCGACAATATACGACACAGTGAGTACACTGTTCAGGGGCTCCTTCACAACGACAGTGAAAACGCATGAGTGTACTTATGTGGTCTCGACAAGGGCAGAGAACGTCGCATTTTTTCACCCTTTAATATTTCATTCGCTCATGCGTATTCGTGCACGTCCCTCCCCCTTCCCTTTGGACTCAGGTGAATGGAGACGGCATCGTCAACACTTCTTCAACCGGTCCACTGCTGCTTGTGTTTTGATATTACAACTGATACATAGAACCGACTTCTCTCATGGATATGACGGAATACTATTTTTATGCAATGTATCAAGGAATGATTACATGGACAAACTTACGAATCAATTGAGAGAAAAGTATGAGTTTTTGTGCGACGGTAACTCCTTGAGAAGGTAAAACATGACAGTAACTGGGTAGAAATGAGGTGCTGGCGGCCGGGTGTGCATGAGTGATCTAGCGATGTGTGGCAACTCTGGGTGGCAGAGGGTCGGGGTCGTGGCTGTTCAATGTGGCGGTGCACATGATAACCCCGCGGTGTTCCTGCTGGTGAGTGACTCCCACCCACCCTCCTCCCCAGTGACCTCTCACTGTTCTTACAGTAGTCCTTCAGGACTGAACAGTCGTCTTGATAAACAGTACTTGAAGCCTATAAAACATGATTTGGTGATGTGTACCGCGTGTGTGTTTTTAATTTCGTTGACTTGTAGGTTTGAGAGGATGACAAGTATAATGAAGACGGACTCCTCGATGACAGCGTGCTGTGGTGTACGTTGGCGGCCAACTCATAGTGCAACGGTAGTTATTCATAAATAACAGTGTGACAGACACAACAATGAAAACTTTATGCAGTGTTGGTATTTTGTTGATGAAAATAATGTCTTGCTTCTTCCTGACACGACATCTTGTGTTAATAATATTACTCAGAACTAAGAACCGGATACAGACTAATGAATAACGGTTATTATGCAGCAGTAGTCTTATTATGACAATCTCTTGGTAAACAGTATCTGACAAAACAAATCAGCATCAAGATAGAAACAGTTTAGCCCGCTATGGTGTCGGCGTTGACAAGATGATCTTAGAGAACAGATATACTGTAAATTACCTTCTTGTGATGTATAATACATGCGTTCGTGTGGTCACATGCGTGTGTTGCCGCCACGATCGACAAGTTGTCAAGCGCCGATGTTGGCTGCCACCACCACCATCACCAAAAACACTGCCACTTAACCAACCATCACCTCGAAATATTAACAACTCTGTTAACAACTGTTTGTATATACTGTATTTGAGGCGTTTGTAAACCCTTCCAATTTAATCAGTAACGTAATTTTATGCAGGGACGATGAAACTAAAACCCAAGAGTTAGTTTGGGTGTTTTTAAGGTATCTGGCAAAAGAATAGATTATTTGATATATTATTGATGTGATACTCACGAACACTTAAACCTTCCTCACGTCGAGTTAGTTTGTATTAAGCTATCTAAATAATATATGGTACATGTAGCCCAGACTAGAAATAAAGGAGGGAAATCCGCATTTAGTGTGGAGTGCCTCAGATACTGTAGCCAGTGGGGATCAGTTCCTGGAAGACTGATAATAGACCCCCAAACGCTGCCTCAACATCGAATATGCTCTGCTCGCCGTCCAATTCTGAAGAAATATTAGTCATATTGATGTTATTCCAAATTATTTATGACCCGAGTAAGAAAGGGCAAATGTAGGTTAGGAGTATTGACCGCTGCTATTAATATTCAGTACTAGACTCCCGCGGCCACCGGATCATATAGTAGTGTTTAGTAATTAATTATAGATATTGACACTTGATCCTAATTTAGTTTAGGTTATGCTGAAAGATGGAGGGAAGCGTGTTCGTGTGGAGGATTCCGTCACGTGGCCACTAAATGCGAGGCCTAACACGGGAAGATCAAGTGAGATACTATGATAGTTAAAAGTTATGTTCAAAGGGATTTTTTATTCAGTTTAGCTAAGTGTAGAGTGATGAAGAGAGTATATTGTTGGTTTAGAATAGTTCACTTCCTCTTCATGTACTCTTTCTCTTCCGTTTCTTCATTTGTTTCTATATCTCTTCTTCCTCTACTTCTTCTCCTCCCTTCCTCTGTTTCACCTCCTCCCCACCGTTTCTCCACCTCCCCCTCCCCTGTTTCTCCACGTCCTCCTCTTCCTATGTTTCTCTACCAATTTCTCCCTTCTGCTTCTCCACCTTCTCTTCCTCTGCTTCTCAACATTCTCCTCTCCCTTTGCTTCTCCACCTCTTCCCCTGCCTCTAAGTGCTACTTGCAGTTACCATAATGTGTCCTTGTGTTGTAAACATGGGCGGTAATATCTCTGTTCTTTGTTTAGTCTTTTGCGGTGTCTTCCTCTCGCCTGACGTCTTTGCATTACGAGACTCGGCAGAAAGTATAAAATGTTGGCTTTTGTGAGCTCGTCCATCCTCGATCTGGCATCTACTGTATGCCCGTTAAGGCACGTCTTAGAGCCTGGACACCCTCACTATACTTTCATCCGTATAATATAACTATTCCAAGGATAATCTACAGTTTATGACATACGTATGATATATAAGGGAGAGGGGTGGACGTCCAGGAAGAAGCAGCGTGCGTGAATGAGAGAGGTGAGTATTGCGTCGAGGGATTACTTAGGGAAGGACGTGCCACTGATGTTTTTTGTGTTAATTAAGTAATAGGAGTAAACCACATCTGGGGTCTAGTGTGGCGGAGAATACCTTAGTAAAACACATCTTTTACAGCGTTAAATATTAATAAATTATAACCGAGTGAAAACAAAGGTGCAAGTATCTCTCTCTCTCTCTCTCTCTCTCTCTCTCTCTCTCTCTCTCTCTCTCTCTCTCTCTCTCTTTGTGTATGTGTGTGAGAACATTTGCTCTTTGTTTCCGATCACTCTGCATTAAGCGAGAAAAACCTTGAAAGAGTAATATCTAATATATATATGTGTGTATGTACTTTACATTAGATGGTATTAGGTCCACTATATAAATCTCGTTAATGTCCAGTAGGAATGGACTCCCAGTATGACGTTTTTGACTGTGTAACATGCTAGGACGCTGAAGGGATTCTGTCAGGGGGTCCAAAGTTACCAGGACATTGATTATTAGGTCCATATATGCTCTGTACACGTCTTCTTTACACACACGGCCCTGACAGTCCCCCTTGGTGTACACAGCGAGGGTAATGTAACAGTGGTGACTACAGTTAGTACATTAGCTATATCTGGTTAATGAAGAGCTTCAAAGTCTCATAACACCGTTGTATTTTGAAACGCTGTACTCACACACACACACACACACACACCTTCCTCTACACCCAAGGAACACCCGTATACCCACACACCCGCTACACTAGGTGAAGGTCACCCAGTGTGAAGGAGTATATTGATTCACCTCACCCCACCCCCCCCCTCCCCTGTATATTGATTTGTTTCCCCCCACTGGTTTAATAGTGCATTATTATCTCATCTATCTGTCTGTCTCTCTCTTTCTCGTATTTTTCTTTTCCTCCTTCTCTTCCTCCTTCCCTCTCTCTCGCCTTCTTTCTCTCTCTCCATTTCTCCCTTCCTCTAATTTTTTCCCTCTTCTCATTCTCTCCTTCCTTCCATCCCCACTCTTTTCCTTACCTCCCTCTCCTGTTTTCCTTCCCCCTTTTATTCGCCTTTTCCCCCCTCCTTCCTTTATCTTATTTCGTTCTTCTTTCCCTCCCTCTCTCTCTCCTTCACTTTACTTTTCTTTCTCTTCCTCCTTCCCATTTTTTCCTTCTTTTCCTCACTTGTCTGCTGCCTCTTCTCTCCTCTCCCCTCCCCTTCCCCAGTTTTCCTTTCTTCCTTCTCCTTCTCCCCCCTTTCACCTTCCCTCCATTCTTCGCTCTTTTTCCTACTATTCCTCCCTCCTCTTCCCCCCCTCCCCATTTCTCTTCTCTTCACTTTTATCCTCTCTCCTTTCTCATTTCCTCCCCTCTCTCTTCCTGCCCCTCCCCTCCCACCTTCTCCTCTACCTCCTACTCCACTCCCCTCTCCCGCTTCATCCATCCCTCCCTCCTTTTCCCCTTCCTCCCACCCCTCCCTCCCTCTCCCTCTCCTTCTCCCTCTCCCTTATCTCTGCTGTTACATAACCTATCTGCCCAAGGTACAAATTAACCTCTAATAATATGGTCCGTCAAGCCACTCCGTCACTCACTGTCGAGAGAGGGTGAGTGACCTCGAGTGCAGAGTGATTTACCACACATGTACAGGGTATGATACGTCTTCCCGTGTGAGTTCCCGAAAGTGATCTGAATAACATCTTGAGCGTAACCTAACCTAACCTAACCTAACCTAACCTTTATGAGTATAATTATATTAACGTTACTTGTATGTTTGTCACAGTATCATTCAATGTTACTTGTTTGTCACATTATTAAGCAGTATCACATCTCTCTTGAATACACATGTTACATAATATATTGTATTAAGTTGTTGAGGAGTAAAAAGTGAGAGACGACGTATTGTATATTGAGAACAGAAGGCCAGACGGGTACTGACGTGTGTTTTAGAGTCCTTAATAAAAGGTGGCACTGGGCGGTGTTTGTTGACGAGCGTGACCTGCCGCCATCACTGACCCACACACTCACTGTCTCCCCACACACTCACTGTCTCCACACACTCACCGTCTCCACACACACTCACTGTCTCCACACACACTCACTGTCTCCACACACTCACTGTCTCCACACATACTCACTGTCTCCACACATACTCACCGTCTCCACACATACTCACTGTCTCCACACATACTCACCGTCTCCACACACACTCACTCACCGTCTCACTCACACACTCACCGTCTCACCGTTCCACACACTCACCGTCCCCACACACTCACCGTCTCCACACATACTCACCGTCTCCACACACTCACCGTCTCCACATACTCACGTCCCCACACACTCACCGTCTCCACACACTCACCGTCTCCACACATACCGTCTCCACTCACTCACCGTCCCCCACACACTCTGTCTCCACACACTCACCTGTCTCCACACACTCACACCGTCTCCACACAAACCGTCTCCACACACTCACCGTCCCCACACACACTCACCGTCTCCACACACTCACCGTCTCCACACACACACTCACCGTCTCCACACACTCACTGTCCCCACACTTTTACCGTCCCTACACACTCAACACCACCTCTACATACTTCTCCGAGTGTTAATTTCCCACCTAAAGTTCTATTAACTCAGGTAAAAAAAAATCCAGTACTGCCTGAAACCCTGATTGTGTGTGTGTGCGGTGGCCGAGCGGACACAGAACTCTCTGCTGTCCTTGGGTTTGGTGATTGGATCCCAGTATATCCATAGTTTACCTATAGCTGTAAATGACCGCCTCACTTTGCAGTTGGGAAAGTAAAGGCGGTCAAGTACAGTGCTGGCCCCGCTGCCTCCTTGATGACATAAGGCTTAGTATAAATATATATCAGTGAATTAGTGTGTTCACGATACTGTTTACGAAATGTGTGTGTGTGTGTGTGTGTGTGTGTGTGTGTGTGTGTGTGTGTGTGTGTGTGTGTGTGTGTGTGTGTGTGTGTGTGTGTGTGTGTTTTGCTAACTGAACTCTTGAACTAAAATATAATAAACCAAAAATCACGAGTGTTGGGGAGATATGTGTTATTTGTCTCACATATAATTTAATTAAGTGGCTGATAGGTCTTAACAGAAGGTAGTGAGTGTCAGGGTGTGTGGTGATAGTGGGTGGTGATGGTGTCTGGTGAGGGTGATGTAGTGCTGGTGAGGGTGATTGTAAGCCCACGGTGTGCTGGTGGGTATAAGATCTTCCTTATACTCTTACAGCCTCTGTTTGCGTCCGTGTTATGAGGTTGTAGTGTGACATGGCGAAAAATATCTACGATAATATCAGTGATAATATTACTACTACTACTAATGATAATATAACTTTACTATAGAAAACGTTATCAAGGGTATGTGTGTGGTGCGTATGTGGGCGCGGTGGTACGGAACATATTAATAGCCATGACACTGATCGTCCCACCAAGGATACTTAATCGTCAGTCAACACCACACAAAACGTCACCAGACAAATGCTCATGGCCTCTCAAAAACACCCGGTTCTGTCTTTTAATTTATTAAGATACAAATCCTTTCCTGTTCGTGTGTTGTTTGATTCAGTTGTTTGTGACTTAAGACGTCTGGCCCACATTAATAAGTCCTAAACTGGCCGGAGAGTGACCACAAGGACAGTACTGAGTCACTGGTCTACTGTTAAGTCAGATTGGGAATGTTTGAAGTTTTTTAGCACGAGAAAAGTCGAAAGGAAAATAAGTGAATTGAAATTGTTTTGAGCCGTGTTACGAGAAAATCACATTACTGCTCATATTAAATTATGCTTTGTTACTCTTGTTTAGTTGCGTTGGTAAGGGCGGCCTTATGAACTTCACTGGTGAATTCCCTCCCTGGGAAAAAAAATAATCAGGATTTTTTGTTCAAACAACGATCCTAAAGTTTGAAGGCGACATACATAACACCATAAGGGTCAGGGATCAGATTCACAAAGGTTCGTACGATCAATATTCCTCATAACTTTAGATGTAAGAATATCCCTAATTGTTAAATTTAAGCTAAAGTACAGGAATTACGTCTAAATATAACAACAAAATTACTCCAAGACTCAGCAGGATAGGTTATACTTTACCAACAGTTATTCTTGTTAACCCTTTCTCTACGGGACGCCACTTTTAATATTTTATTTGGCTAACGAAAGACGATTTTATTCAGCAGAGAGAGACTACAGTACAAGGAGCTAAGAGTCAAAATCGTGAAAAAGATTCTCTATAATTTATGTCTACTAATTGGTGTTAAGTGGGCATACTAAGATAGATAGAACGTAAGTATAATTTTGACGTTGTTTTCAGACAATGTTCATGTGTCATGGCGGTGTGGCAAGAGGCTAAAGATGGTGGAAAAAAATTATCACGAATCCCACACAGATGCTTGAGTTATGAGAGTGAAAGACAAACAACCAAATTTAAGAGCATATAATCTAATGTGACAGCTTTACCATAATCTTCCTGCCAAGTCAAATAAAAGCTAAATATAAGTATGTTGTGCTGGTGAGGAACAACATACACTAAGTGACAGTGAGCGGCAGAATAAAGTGTGGGCTCGGTTGACTGATCGAGGTAAAAACACGATTACTGAAGGTACTGTATGTACGGTAGACCTTACAATACGCACACTGTATCCTTAGTGACCACTGTATTGTATCACCCACAACACTCCTTTCTGTCAATAGTGTAGCAGCTGGTTGACGGGTTTTAAGTAGCGGCTGGTCGACCAGTTTTAAGTAGCGGCTAGTCGACCGGTTTTAAGTAGCGGCTTGTCTGCCGGATTTAATTAAGTAGCGGCTGGTCGACGGGTTTTAAGTAGCAGTTGATCAGAGCCGTATGCTAGGGCCTAGAAAAAAAATATGTATACATGTCATATTTTTTTCTAGGACTTCATGTCATATGAAGTCCTTAGACCTGGGTTGACTGGTAAAAGTAAAAGCAGCTTCGTTCACCTGCCCACACGAGGTCTGTCTCTGTCATCTCAGTCACTGCCGGGAACAGACAGCGAGGCATAAGTCAGCTGGTTACCTACCTGTTGTGGGCGGGGGCTCCATCACTACGCTAAGTCATACATTACTAATAAGCCTATTGATACTCATGCAGTGTATGTGTGTGTGTGCGTGCGTGTATTATTAACGCTTCCTAGTGTGATCTATCTTGACGATTCGATCACTTTAAATATCGTTAAGTATTGTCAATATACAGGAAAAGGATCTTGAAATGATATGGTGTACAGCAAATGGTGGTGGCTGGTGTGGTGGTGGGGAGGAATAATCGATGGCCATGATTGGTCGCCTGGAGACCTATCGATTCTCTGACGTCATATGTGGCCCCGCCCCTGGGTATATTTTTTTTACTAGTAATATTAAAGAGGGAGTCGCCGCTCTGATATGGTAAAGAAATTCTCTTTGATGGAGATTAAAAATTTTGTTTGTTTGTTAAATCAGTTGTAATTATGATAGTGAAGTAATACATGCGGAGGAAAGGTGTGTTGTTAAACTGGGGTTGACTGTATCTGCTGGGACAGTTATGCTCTGACTCTGCGTTGAGAAGTCCTTGGTATACCTTATGAGCCTTGCCCCGTGTTTACACACACACACACACACACTAATCGCACGTCCGCGAATATTTATGATCACATCACGTGCACATATAAGCTGTAATATATCACAAGCAGACGTACGCAAACTCACATCAGGTAAATTCAAACACACATACACTCACATTTGTACGTACTGTACAGTGTACACCACACACACACACACACACACATAGGGGTGTTCAAGGTTGCATATGTTAGGCACAGCTGCATGATCCACAGTACTGCACTGTTTTTATTCCATATCGTGCACAGACTGCAGTGTTTACTGGTGGTAGACAATATAACAGTGAGTAGTAAGTGCAAGATTAGTGAAGCTTGCGAGCCACAATAGGCCTACACACGCTGCTGCAGGCAAATCCGTAGTTTTTACTACTGGGTCCTGAAATGTGAAAACAGCAGCAGTATGAGTATTCGTATCAGTAAGATTGTAGTTGAGGTTTCATATCGAAGTCTTATATCTACGTGGCGGAAATAAGTAATCCAACTATTCTTTATACTGTTTATATAGTATAATATTATCTGTTGAGAGCAAGGATGGAAAGCATTCATGAGTTATGCTATGTACAGTCGGGGTCAAAAGTCTTGAACACTTGACAGTACTTGGCATGTAAGTACCCGAAGATCTTAGGTACAGGTATTAAGGAGAGTTTTATCCCGTTTTGTGGTTCAGGCATAATATGTGATGACAAGTAGTGTTATTAGTCTATCCCAATCATATATATATATATATATATATATATATATATATATATATCAGAAGTAGATGCCAAATATTGCTAAGTGTTCAAGACCTTTGACCCCGACTGTACATACATATAGAGACAAGCACAGTACGAATATAAGTTTATACATACTTACATAAATGCTGTAGATAGATAGTTATATTCATTATTATAGAACGACTGACCGCTGTACTTACTTGACCCTTCGGCATTACTAACACTGCCCTCAACTGTAACAATTGTTCATTTATTCACTGTACTGTAGCCTACTTTTAACAACTGAGGTGCGAACTGTGAAGAATGTGTTGACTAAAATAAATATGAGACTAACACTGGAAAATTAAGGTCGTAACAAGGAACAGACCAACCGCTGAGAAGTAATGGAAATATTAAATTGAATGACGATTATTTTCTGTAGTTGAGATGTAGGAATACTCTTAAGTAGTTGACCAAAGAAAAAACACAAAAATATCGTCGAAATATATCTGTTACGTGTAGTAGTATAGCATGTGGATTATTATTTTTTCTTTTTCAGGAATACGATGGTTGGGTGTAAGAAATCTATGCGACAAGGCGAGTGGATTGTGGAGTGGTTGACGGAGCTGAGGAACACCCCTTGAGGCCCTCACTCAATGGACGGCACACTCACTCACTGCACCGACAACACTCTACTGCTCCTTAGTTGAAATGTCTCAAAAACAAATTACTCGTCTATTCTCTAATCACCGAAAATCACTAAATAGTCATTGAAAACAAATCACAAAATCTATTCACTCCAACCATAATGAGTTATAAACTAAATAGTGATATAATAGTGACTGTTTGAGTACTTGGCCTTTGTGCGTCTCTCTTGGATGGCTGAACTCCCTAATAGTAAAAGTCTCCCGTCAAAATGAGCATCCGTGAGAAGACAAGAAACAACAAGTTGGAATATTTTCTCAAGAAGAACCTTCACCCCAGCGTCTACAACAACATAAGGTATGTACAGTACAGTATAATCCACAATATATATTATTTAAAAAAAAAAGTACCACAATTGGCAACGTTTAATATATGTCCCTTAGATGACGAGAACCTAACCTAACCTTACTTAACTTAACCTAACCCAGAGTTTCTCAAACTTTTTCACTCCATTCCCCCCATGAGGAACACTCAAACATCCTCGTGGCCCCCCTTCAGTTCTCTCCCAAGCTCCTCACAAATAATGATGAAAATAAACTGTTTTGGTTCTCTTCCTTTATTTTAATGTTTTCAATCATCTGACACAATGCATATTTTGTTACAGTTCAATGAGATGGATGATATTGTTTCCTTTCAGTCAGTCGACTGATTCGAGGTTGATTCACTGATAAACCACATCTCATGTCTGGGTTCACATGTAACCGGTTTCGGCTTTTATTCTCTATTTGAAGAAGGTGGAGAAACCAGATTCACATAAATAAGTAGTAGAAAATGGCAAGAGGACTCGAAGTGCGATCTCACTAACTTTTGGATATGACTGATACATTGAGCACCAGAATACAGTCAGAGATTTTTCTTCATAGAGGTCTCTGGCAGCAGAATCGTTCTGAGATCAAGGAATTCGTCTGAACGGGGACTAGTATCGTGCAATCTGAGCGAATCCGTTGGAAATGAGAAACCTACTGCTTCACCATACTATGTAAATATCAAAACTGTACCGTATGGGTATTATGATTACACACAAAATAAATCAGATTTCTCCCCTAACAAGGCAAAGTAACAAAACAAGTTTAATCAAAGTTTCCACATTTTCTCCAAACATATACTACTTACACTAGCCTGCCATGGCCCTCCTAAAATTTTGCCGTGACCCCCTTGGGGCCATGGCCCTCTAACCTAACCTACCAAGTCAAGGATCATTGATTTTAGTGTAAGTTTAGTTGGTTCGTTTCGTGTGCTTTAAAAATAACTAAATAAAGGAATATGAGGCTGTTATTTTTTTTTTTAAGCATTGACTGTTCCGCGTATAATACTGGTGTGTGCTGGTTTTGGTAGGTAAGAAGTGTAGTATTGAGCTGTTTTCTGGGTGTGTTTACGTCCCGGGAGCCGTTATGTGTGGTCGCGTGCGTTGTCGTGATTCCTCTGCTTGAATTATTTTTCACACGTAACTCATTAAGCGATAAAGTGTACGTATTGAGTGAGTATGTGTACATGTATGTCTCCAGCTACTGTACCTGTGTTTCTTAACAACAGAGAATATTAGATCAGTTAACCAGGTGCTAAATACAAATTGATTATTAAAAGACGCCACCTTACATTTATATGAGACCAGTTTTCTTCATGTTTGTTTGTGGGTGCTGGCGGTGCCTGTTGTGTATTACTGGGGACGTAAGATGTGTATGTGCCTTGTGGGTTATTTGGTCACTGCGGTTAAACTTCCGGTGTTGGACCAGGAGACGGCGCGGTGCCATAACAGATTTACGAGTACACCTGGTTGATGTTGAGGAACTTAGTCTGCCTCTCCGAGCCTTCTGGGAATCTGAATTATTCGGGTTTTCCACCTTCTCTCTCTCCTGAAGCGGGTTATATTTTGACTTGTATCTATCTTGTCAAGTACTTTGGTTTCCTCAAGATCTTGGATGAGGTCGATAATTAATAGCCAAGATTCGATTAAAGTTAGCGATTTGGCGGCAACTTTTAATTTCATGAAGATTTCGAAGTTGGTTAAATAGCATCAGTAGCTAAAGGGCTGTAATTTACCGGTTTAGCAGTATGCCGTTTGAATTGTTAACAGCGTTGGGTGATGTGTCGCATGTTCGACTTTTCGTTACAGTTTCTAATGCAAAAAAAAAAAATCATTTCGAAGATCAAGAACTTGGAATACAAAATTAATCTTTCCACAAATATGTTTGTTATATATTGGGCCAGCTGTTTATGATAATAATTCCTTGATAAGATTAAGATTCCAGACCTGGTCATTAATAACGTCTTGTGTTTTACTGTCGCTTGGATGTGTTCACTAGATACTGTACATCACCCAGAGGTTGTATTTATTTTGTATTAATGTTTCCTACAAAGACTGAGTCACCATCACCATCAGGAGAGAGCTCTTCAATACTGAGTATACATCATTAACTTTATGGGTAACTTAATCACGGCAAAAGGTGACTGTCTGACTGAACTAAAGGTGACTGCGAACATTACAAATTGTAGCCGATCACCGCGCCGCAGCAACAAGAGCTTCGTGACATTTAAGTGATGTACTCTTGAAATCCTTAACATTTTACGTCTCAGGGTAATGTTATGCCATTTTGTTTTTTCGAGGTCGCTTTTGTCATTTTCACCGCCTCTCCCTTAAATACGAGGTAAATTTTTATGGGTTCGGGGTGTGTATCTCTCGTCGACCACCGTGTAATCCGACACGAATCCACGCCAATTTTTTTTGTCGTTGTCATTGCATTCGAGATGGCACAGATTAATATTTCTTTATATAAAATAAAAGAACTAATCAAAAAGAATATTTGATTAAATAAGTAGTTTAAATTCTTCTTACAAGTGAATGTCAACATCAGTGTGTCTTGTAAAATTCAGGGAAGAAATAAATTTATAGTTTCACCTTTACCTGGCATTAAATTTGGACAGTGACTTGTGTATTTATGTATTCATTGTTCCATTTTACATCAGCTGTTCTTGTCTCAGAATAATTAAGCGCGACTGTTTTTCAGCTGAAGTTTTATGTTGTCAATATTCATAATCTTTTAAAAAAATAGTTAAAGATGAAATTTGTTTCCATTCCAGCACTCACCATACGGTACCGAATTGTCAAAGGAGAATATGCCGAGTTATAGTACATAAATAACAAAAAAATAGCTTACAAATTAAACAGAACCTTCATTAACTTACCACAAGTCAACCAGTTAGGTGCATTCTTACATCTTCACTTACGAGGATTTATTTATCATAAGATCCTCTGAGATTCTAGACTTACCTGTGCTTCTCTTTTCCCTCACCCAAGTTCTGCTGAAGTTTAGACTTGGAGGTAACTCATGGCCAGATGTTCTCATGTCGCGCGAATCATCAAGTGCAAATGACTCGGGTTCTACGAAAAAAAAAAAGGATATACAGTACTAGTAAGATTAGCGTGAGGTATAATAGTGAAAGTTTAATATCACGGCGGTACTGTGGGTCACTGTCTTCTCGGAAGCAACGATAATAAGAGAGCGATAGTAATTTACTGTCAATTGGCAGCTGAAGTGAACTGGGTGTGTTAGTACATAGGGAGGGGGGTGGTGGTGGGAGCAAGGACTGGTGGTAGACAGGCGGTTTGAGCAAGGCTATCCACTGCCTCCATCAGGACAAGGTCGCCGCCTGCATGGGGAGGAGTGCTCACGGTACACACCAGAGAAAGACGCTCCTCTCTCCTCGCTCCACAAAGTATCATATTGTTTTGATTAAATATACGCAAGCACGCGGCCCCCTGGTGGACTGTGTTGTAAGGAATATATTTTTTTTTATACATCGTTTGGGAGATATAAAGAGCAGTATGCGTTTATGAGTTTCTTATGAGGTAAAGATTATCGACTGGCTCCCCCAAAAAAAACAGTCGCTTCTAAAAGTTTGGACAGAAGAGAGACAAATCCGCTGTCCTCCACATTCAACGGGACATTATCACGGTTTCAAAGTTAACTTGACAGACATTATTGATTGTTAAGCCCAGAGACACACTGTAAACCTCTTCTTTACACATACGCACACAAGTTTAAAATAAGTGAACCCCTGACATGACCCCGTTCAAGAGAATAATATTATCCATTACCCAGAAACTATATTCTTCATTGTATATTTCGTTCGTTGAGGGATGATCGCCTAAATCTTTTTTTTTCTGCTGGTTCTTGTTTCAACCGTTTAGTAGTAAGCAGTATTCTCTAATGTTGTTCGAGGATATAAAGGAATCCTCAAGTGGTTTAGTTTCTTGCTTTAAAGATATGAATCAATGGTCATGTAGTCAGGTCTTGTCTGGAGGATATGAATCAATCCTTAGGCGGTTCACTCAGATGTTTTTGAGGATATGAACGGATCCTCACGCGGGCCGGAACTGAGGTGGTTTATTGAGACCGAAAAAGGATCACCTGAAGATTAACCACACTAACTTTACCTGGGAGAGTTAGGTTAAGTTAGGTTAGCGTTAGATTAGGTTTGATTAGGTTAACTTTAGGTTTTAGGTTAGGTTAGATTAAGTTAATTTAGGGCAGAGTAAGTTCGGTTAGCGTTAGGTTTTTTTGATTAGGTTAAGTTAGGTTACCATCAGGTTAGGTTTTAGGGCAGGTTAGGTTTGATTAAGTTAGTTAGGCTAGCGTCAAGTTAGGTTGGGAAGGGTAAGTTAAGCTAGCATGAGGGTTCTTTAATCATCGGGTGTATTAAAGTGAGGTGTCTAATCTTCAGGTGATCCGTCAAACATATAAGATGACAAAATATCACATTACTCAGCACCTTGTGGGAGCTGCGGCCTTGCACCACAGTAGCCATGAAAGTGTAAACAGATGACCTTCCGAGTTGACTTTTATCTGTGTGCAGGGGGGTCCTGGGGGTCCATACCCCCCCTTTTCACCAGAAAATTTCAATACAGTATTTTGTCTGTAATTCAGTATTGTACTCAGGCGTTTTTGTATAGTAAAAAGTATTTACTATTGACTTCAGAATATCCCTTAATATCAAGTGCGCATGGTCTCAAAATGCCTATGATATTGGTAATATTTAAAAAAAAAATTCTGGGGAGGACTTACAGCCTCCCCCCCAAAAAAATCCCCAGCTGGGTGGACTCGTTGCGCTCGCCATGGTTCCCCCCCACAACTTCTTGGACCCCCCTTTTGATATTCCTGGATCCGCCCCTGTGTGTGTGTGTGTGTGTGTGTGTGTGTGTGTGTGTGTGTGGGTGTGTGTATGTCATGCATACAGTCATCACCCTGCACCTCGTCCCCAGACCATGACATTTGATTATCTTGTCTGTTTCTTGTGCC